CATTTTTCTATCCTAAACAAATTAAATCAGAAGAAAGTACTGTATATTGGTAAAATATGGGTAGTTTGTAATATGATTCTGTGTAATTTCCAGTATGCTTAAAATATTTCATAATTTAAAAATCCCTAAGTCAAACAATGGTAGGTATTGTGGATAGCTCTGAATTACAAGTTTAAGTTTAATTATTGCTCTAGGTAATGAGAAACCATGGGAAAACCTAAAAGGGGGAATTATATGTTTCAAGCTGAAATTCAGGAAAATTACTCTGGCAAAACTACAAGAATAATCAGGCAGGAAGCAAGCAAAAAGAACCACTGGAAAGTCCCATCACCACTTGAACCTAAAGTTATAGAAGCAGAAGTTCACGGGAAAGAGACCACAGATCACATTCCCAGGTAGCACCAATAAGATGTGGACTTTGGTTGTTTGTAGTGCCTCAGAGAAAGGCAAGACCCAGTATTGCCTCTGAGATCTGATACTGAATCATTTTTAAATGAGCAGCAGTGCTAATAGAAACATCTACTTGCATATGTTCCTATGGGACAAAGTGGCTAGTTTGGGAAGAAGAATAGGGTGTACTATTTGGACTCATTCATTGGCTTAGAGTTCACTAAGGGTACAAGCAGGAAATGTTTCCTACAAAGTTGGGCATGTACGTTGGGAGAATCGAAGTGAGATGAAAGTTTAAAATATCTACTTTATAGAAATCTTTTGAGAAGTATGAATAAAACTGCAGGGCTTAGGAATAAATAAGGATTGTAAGGGAGAGAGAATATGATTTTAAGAAATAGCCCATTGGGAGAACTCTGGCAATGGTGGGTGGGTATTGGGAGAGCAGGAGGAGGAGGGAAGTCAGTGAAAGACATAGTGGGAACGGAGAGCGAGGCACAGTGAAGGTATCCTTGCCCCCCTCCTACGTACATGTATGTGACAGCTGATATTAGAAGCACATGGTTTATTTAGGGCTGGAAATTGGTAAGATAGATGATGATAGATAGATAGATAGATAGATAGATAGATAGATAGATAGATAGATAGATATACCAGAGGTGCTTCTGGTATCGGACACAAATTAAAATGACATTTAAAAAAACTGGCAGAGAAGAGCTAGTCTGGCACAGATGAGGAGGTCAACACCCCAGGTGAGGAAGCGTGGTGGCCTGGTGCCTCCAAGCAGGTGCCACCACGGCAGGATCACCCTGGCAACCTCTACTCTGGTTCCCCTGGCTTCAGGCACATCAACCCATGCATGTCATTGTGTCAGGCTAATAAGTCTAGAACACCTTTAATCAAGCAACTGTTCTGGATTAAAATCTTACTATACATTCCTCCTTTGACTGTATAAAATACAAAACTAGCAAAGTATTTTGTCCAAAGCAAAGAGAAGTGCTGCTCCAAAGAGGTGACATTAAATATAAAATACTCCAAAATGATAATGTTCCTTCATTGTGGCAAGCCAGGTCAGTGTCTGACGTTTAGAATACCAGTTTTAACAGGTAAAAGGGTGGTGGGGGGTCTACCATGACTTGGGCATGTTGCATACAGGGTAGGACGAAAGTAGATTTACAGTTGTCTGTGTGGAAAATAATACAATAATTAATACATTGTAATACAGGAATAAACTGTTTTGTGTATGCACAACTGTAAACCTACTTTTGCCCCACCCTATATTTCATAGAAACAGTGATAGGTTGTAATGCAAAATTAATACACAAGGTAAAGAAATGACTACAAGAGTTATGTCATGATACTCAATGATTTGATACCTTTAAAAATTTAATGATTTAATAAACATTTTTAAAGGACAAGAACACTAGAATTATTTTCTTAAATGAAGAAAAGCTGATTAATGAGTTAAGACAAATTTCAAAGCAAACAGTCAAAAAAAAAAAAAGGTTTAACACTTACTGCTTTGCTCAAAGAGTCAGCTCAGGAACTATGCTCAACAGGTCACACTAGAATCTCTAAGAAGATACATGGCAAGGGCCCCTTCAACCCTAAAATCTGGAGGCACCTGGGTCAGGGTTGGCCCACTACCTTGAGGACAAGAATGTTTGTCTGCCCTCATTCAGCCTAACACTAAGCACTAGTTTGTGAGCAGTAAGGGGTACATTAGAACATTACATCTCAAAATATGTTTTCATGTCACAATAATCTCTGATACAACTGGCCTCAATTCTGGCTTTGCTTCCCCATTAGAATATTATAAAATTAGGATTGAAAGCATGAATTCTGTCCATAAGTAATCAAGTATCAGTACACAAATAGAATTATTTTTATTTTGAAATTTACTTTTGAACATGAACTATATAAAACAATCATTATGAACCTTTTGAGTTAAAAATAGTTTATTTGGGAACATTCACAGTTCTAAGTCCATAAAATTAGCAATATGTATTATTAATCATAAAAATGAAATATGTTTATATAATTTCTTTTTCTATCATTTTGGGCATGACTAAATTGGACATTTTCATTTTTAAGGCATGCAATATTTGCTTAGAATTTTATTATCTCCTGGGATGTACTTAACTTATTAAGCCACACAGAATTCACCCTTGTGAACACTAGAATATTCTGAATAGAATCACCTCTAAAGTTATTTTTTAAATAAATAACATCCTCCTAATGAGTCAAGGTTAATTTAGTTTAATATTTGACGATTAAAACTACAACACAAACTGTTTCAACACTGACCTCTGTGAAGTTCACATTTCTCAAGTACAAATGGAGCACAAAAGCAATTCATCTGTGTATAAAAACACTTTTATTGTGTTCCCGGAAGGCTGTCCTTTACAAAGACATAGCTCTAAACAGTGCTTATGGAACGAGCAGCTTTGAAAATGTAAATACCCTACAATGGCACACTATTTTTAGGGGAAAATGGAATTCTAAAAGGGCATTTCAAAGGCTGGTTATACCATAGTTACTTAAGAAGCATTCAATGTTCTCTCCTTGGAGTCTTTCTTTTAATTGGGTTGCCCACTCAGTTCTTTTGTGTGTAATCCTGGAAAGCTCGCGTGGGGGAGGAATCCTATACACCCCACGGCCAAGTGCGCGCGAGGAGGAGAGTTCTCACTGTTGTATTCCTTGGTCTCATTTTCACGGACACGGTGACTCCGCGGAAGCACACGCACACATATCCCAGGGGACTTAAATCATTCATGAGCTTATAACATTTGAGATGTCAGACACAATTGAAATTCCAAGAACAGGGAAGAGCAAGAATGATGAATAGGCACCACGTGGGCAAGGGAAGGGCTGCAAAGGTCAAGTTCCTGAAATGGTTCTCCCCCCCTAGCTCTAGCTCTGCACCTCCTTTCTTGGCTGATGGCTGCGCAGATGACAGATGGGAGCACCGTGTCCGGGCTGCCAGAAGCCAGGGGCCTCCTTCTGGACGACTGCAGCTTTTCACGTGGCTTCTTCCTTATCTCCTGGGAAAGAATGAGGCGCATTCTTCTACCCTAGAGTAGCTCCTGAAACCCTGCTGAGGGTTGCACCCCCATCCTCCGGCGCCAGGCTGGGGGAGGGGCTTTGTGGTCACCCAGTTTTGCACGCCCCTCTTTTCCAGATCTGAAGTTCAAGAATGGGTCCCTTGTGCCCTTGGGGGGCAATCACCACGTTGAACATTGAAATCCAGTCCAGGCAGCACAAAAAGACAAGTTGGCTTTCCTCTGCTTCCAACACCCCAACTCCTCCCGACAAAGGGACTTCTGGGTGCCTGATGATCCTTCCTCTTCCAGGGACCTCAGTTCAGGTTAATGAAGCTACGATTGTCTCCCTTTTTCTTAGTGATAAAATTAACGAGGTGCGCCCTCCTTTTCCCCTCTCCAGGTTTAGTATTCCTCCATTCCGAAGTGAACTCAAGGAATGTTCTCATCCAAGGCCGCTTCGCCCCAGGATTCCGGAGTTTTCCCAACAGGAACTTCGAGAACAGTGAGGTAGACAGACATCTCAGCAACCCCCAAAACGGACACTTTTCACCCCCAACTGGCGTTTCCCTTCTCGTTCCACCAGCGGCTCGGGTCAGGCTCCGGTGCCCACCTCCACCTCCGGGACTTCATGCAAGTCACCCGGACCCCCAGGTCTGGGCAGCTCTCTTCCCAGGTGCCGCCCCTCCTCTCCTGCCTCCTCCTGGCCACACCCCAGGTCCTCCTGCACCCCTCGACCATCCACGCGTCCTTCTTACCCCCTAGTCTGGTCAAGAGAAGTTCTGAACCACTTGGGTCTACATTGTTTCAGTCCTGAGTCAGGCAGGGCATTTAAAACACACACACACACACACACACACACACACACACACACCCTATGAAAAGGTCTCTGGAAACTTTGCTGTCTCAAATGCTCCGGTGCCGGCTGCCGCGAGCACACACCTGCCTGCGCCGGGTGCAGGAGCGGTGTCCTGGTGCACACAGGACCAGGGAGCCAGACAGCGGGCAACTGCGCAGGGACAGTCAACTCGCTGGCCGTCACCGGCGGGGACTCGCGGTGCTGCTTGGGCATTAAGGCAATTTTGAAATGGGCTTGGGAAGCGGGGGCTAGAAAATGGTGATTCTAAACACACACACCGGTGGGTCTGTCCACCTCCTGCCACTGAGCAGTGCTACCCGACAGGCTACACTTTGGAGAGCAGGGTAGTTGCACGGTGTATATATAAACTGTCCTCCGAGGCACATTCATCTCGGACCTGACAGTCCCTGTCGTCTACACGACTTCTCAGTCTGGATCCAAACCAGCCCCACGTACAGAGCGAAGGGGACCAAGGCGCTCCTGGAGCCCTCAGCCCCCCACTCCTCACCCCCCACCCCCCGGCACACACACACCCATGCAGCCCCCGAGGCAGGTGCGGCCCCCGGATCTCCGAGCAACAAGCGCGCCGTCTTCGGGAGGCCCGGCCCCTCGCTGCCCCGTCCCCGCGTGGGTCACCTCTCCCCGCCCCCCACTCAGCCAGCTGCGCCTGGCGGGCGCAGGGGAAGGAGAAAGCCCAGCTAGCCACTCACCCCCAGCTTCCTGCTGCGGATTTTCACGTAGCCCTGCTTGACTATGTCGTTAAAGTTGGAGGCCATGCCAGCGCGCTCGGCTTCCGCGAGTCCAGAGCCGCCGTCCGCAGCCAAGTCCGCGCAGGTCCCGCATCCAGCCAGCCGCCTCCAGCAGCGCGCCTCCACCCGGTGCCCCCAGCTCCCGCAGGAGGCGACGCGGGGCGGGTGGCAGGGCGGCCGCGGGCTGGGACAGGGCCTGGCGCCTTGAGCAGCGAGCAGCGCCCGCCCTCTGCGCGCGGGTCCCCACCTTCGCCCCCGCCACCCCTGCAGCTCCCACGGGCGGGCGCCTCACTCGGTGGCGCACCGCTGGCCGCAGCGCACCATCGAGGCTCCTGGGCTCAGGGGGAGGGGAGGGGCGGGGGGCGGGCTGATTCGCCCGCGTGGCTCCCTCCCCCCAGCCTGCGGGGTGGCTGGGCTCCGAGAGGCTGGCCAGACGCCCTCCACCACTCCCGCCCCCTGCGCCCCGGGCGCTCCCACTCAGCCCCCCGGCCCACAGCACTCCCAGATTCCTGAGGACAAGCGCCTCATTCCGGGCTCTGGATCTCCACTCCCAAGTGGACCCCAGGAAAGGGCGGCAGGGATGCTTCCAAGGAAAAAGGCAAGTGGGAGCGAGGAAATTGTGTATTGCAAAGGCCGTGTTTACAGTGCATTTTTATTCCTGGGCACAGGCTCGCTGGCCAGGTCTTTGCCCCGTTAGGAAGTGTGGATCCAAGCCAAGCCCTTCCCGGTGCACACAAAGAGACCAGTCGTGCGCATGTGTCTAATCCCTCTGCTACTGGAGACGTGAAGCACTCTGGCGAGGCAGCCGGCTGCCCGCCTCCTTCCCATCCAGCAGCCAGGGTCTGAGTGCATGGATTGATGCACGCGTTTTGGTTAACTATGACCGAAAGTGGATCCTGGCTTTTCATCTTTTAGGGGAAACGGGGCCATAGCTGTTACCTGGAAGCAAGTGATTTATTGAAACGATCAACTTGTAAAAACAAGGAAGAACTTTCTCCCCTTAATGTAGGAACACATTACGTTTTAAAATAGACTATTCTCTATGGTTTAGAAATTGTAACTTAAAATGTTACCATTTTTATAAGATTCAAGGAAAAAATAGGAAGTATTGAATTTTGGCTAGGGGTAATATATGGATTTTTGCTATGGGAATATAAGAATATAAGAATAGTTAGTGTCTTGGTAGTTTAGGATTTTTCTAATTAAGAAAAAATGTAAAAGATTTAAAATTTTATAACTGACTCCTTTTTTTATAGAATCCATATTTAGTAAAAGTTCAAAAGATCATGTTTATTTCTGCTCATTATCAGGATCAGCATTTTTCCATGTTTTCCAGTTAAAATTTCTTAGCCCTATTGGGAACACAATAATATTAAGAGAGAAAGGAAATTATTTCATTGAGGAGGAAAAAAAAAAAACAAAATATGAAAGCTAAAATAACAAAATAGGATGCCCCTGACCCCAACCACACTGACACCTCAGGGGTGATTTTTGTCCCATCATTATTAAGAGGCTCCATCTAGAGCCCACATAACCTAACAGGAACTCTAACTTGCCTTATCAGCATACTATTCCTTTTCATTCATTTATGCAGCAGACATTTGTTTGGTCTGTCAAGCATGCAGAGCACCAGATGCTGATGCTGGGGCATATACTTAAAATCACATGGCAAGATTCCTTAGGCTGTCCCTCTGGAAGGAGCTCAAACTCTGACCTTCCCAGAAAACCTGCATAAACTCCATTTAACTCAATGGGATTCCTTCTTCTAAATACCTGGGCATGTTCCACTCATTTGTTACTATTACATGCACCACGTGGCTATTATTCTTTTGTTTATATGGAGACTTTTATATTTTCAGATGCTTTAAATACATTATTTCATTCAGTCTGCTTTGAAATCCCATGTGTTACGCAAAATTTACTTGCCATGTGTAATAGATGAGGAAACAGTCTCAGAGCCCTCAATTGCAGAGCCATTATTTCAAGATTGGTTTGGGGTCTACAATAATTTCCAATTCCACCATTATTAATACAAATCAATTGTAAAATATTTGAAGTCAGGGATTAATTTTGTCTCAATAGCAATCTTAGTACTTACTTAAGGGTGAAGTATGGCTTGTAAGTCTGGTTTTTAATAAATACATAATGGTTATGCCTTTGCACGTGTGCTTGTGTAGGTCTTTTAACCCCCTAATATGATTTAAATATGATGCTTAAATTTCTGATATAGCAATTTGTGTGTGTGTGTCTATAATAAGTACCCTCTCCCTCTTATTCTGTTTGTTTGCCACTTTAACACGAGGTTATTTGTCATATAAATTAGTGTGAAATGTCAGATGCGAAGCCACAACCAGCACAGCTAGGGTTCAAGGTCTGGAGAAGGGGCCGCACACAAACGGATATACTAGACAAGAAATATAAATTTAGAAGGCATGGGGGAGCCAGGCGGAGACCTTACTCTCTAGCAGAGAGGCTCCCTGAAAGCCTGGACCCAATGGCTTACTATTTACTAGAACACACATTTGTCCTTTAGCAAAGCAAACAGACATATCAATAGTAAAGTTTGGTAAACAATAAAGGATTATCAGGTTAGGGGATTGCCTTCAGCCATTCATCCAGCAGCAGGGTAATACAATGCTGATTTTCAGCCCTAGCTGAATATCAAAGTCCATTAGCCCTCTAACGGATTTCTCACATAATTATGCTAACTACTTGTTGGTCATAGCCTCTGGCAAATTAGGTTGATTGTATCCTCATTATACCATTTACTGTGATCAACTAAGCCTCCAACTTTCTGCTAACTAGAAATGTGACTTAGAAATTTAAGTATATTCTTTTTTCTTTCCAAGAATAATTTTATAAGAAAAAAACCTGTGACAAAATCAAGCACCCATTTATGATAAAAACTCTCAGCAAAGTAGAAATAGAGGGAGCATAGCTCTACATAATAAAGGCCAGTTATGACAAACCCAAGCTAACATTATACTCAACAGTGAAAAGTTAAAAGCATTTTCCTTAAGATCTCAAACAAGACAAGAATGTCCACTTTCACCATTACTATTCAGCATGGTATTGGAAGTCTTAGTGACAGCAATCAGACAAGAAAAAGAAAGAAAAGGCATCCAAATTGGAAAGAAAGAAATAAAACCGTTGTCATTTGCAGATGACATGATGTTCTATATAGACAAGCCTAAAAAATTCACCTAATAGTATTAAATTTGAGAAATTCATTTAGAAAAGTAGCAGAATACAAAATTAATATTCAGAAATTGGTTGCATTTTTACACCAATAACAAACTATCAGAGAAATTAAGAAAACAATCCAATTTATAATGAATAAAAGAATACCTAAGAATAAATTTAACAAAGGAAGTACAAAACTCAGAAAATTATAAAACATTGAAGAAAGGTAAGAAGATACAGATAAATGGAAGCATAAACCATGCTCATGGATAGGAAAATTAACATTGTTAAAATGTTCATACTACCCCAAACAATCTATACATTCAATGCAATCCCTGTCAAAATACCAATGACATTTTTCATAAAAATAGAACAATCTTAAAATTTGTATGGAACCACAAAAAACAACAATATCCAAATAGTTAAAGCAATCTTGAGAAAGAAGGATATGAAACCATACTACAAGGCCATAGTAATCAAAACAACATGGTACTGGCATAAGAACACACACAGATCAATGGAACGATATAGATGGTCCAAAAATAAACCCATGACTATGTGATCAATTAATTTGACAAATGAGGCAAGAATATACAATGGGGTAAAAACAGTCTTTTGAATGAATGGTGGTAGGAAAATTGAACAGATGCATGTAAAAACAAACAAACAAACAAACACATGAAACAAGACCACTTTCTTACACTAGATATAGGAATAACCTCAAAATGAATCAAAGAGTTAAATGTCAGAGCTGAAACCATAAAAATCCTAGAAGAAAACATGGTAGTAAACTATTTGACATTGTTCTTAATTATATATATATGTGTATATATATATATATATATATATATATATATACACATATAATAAAGATATTTGAATATATCTTTTAAGGCAAGGGAAACAATAGAAACAAAATTAACAAATGGGACTACATCAAATGAAAGTAATCAACAAAACAAAATGATAACCTACTATATGGGAATATATTTGCCAATGATACATCTGATACGGGGTTAACATCCAAAATACTTAAAGAATTCATACAATTTAACACACACACACACACACACACACACACACCCCACAGATAATCTGATTTAAAAATGGGTAGAGGACCTGAATAGACATTTCTCCAAAGAGGACATACAGATGGCCAATAGACATTGGAAAAATACTCAATGTAACTAGTCATCAGAAAAATGCAAATTAAATCACAATGAGATACTACCTCACACCTGTCAGAATGGCTATCTATATATTTAAAAGCCTAAGTGACCGTCCGACCATTCTACTGTCTAACCAGTAGCTATGACATGCAATGATCACCAAGAGGCAGACATTCCAACTACCAGCTATGATGTGCACTGACCACCAGGGGGCAGACGCTCAACACAGGAGCTGCTGAGCTGCGGTGACTTGGCAGCTGCGGTTCTCAGGTGATGCACCCGGAACCAGAGAGTAAGGAGCCTGATTCCAGGTGCATCACCCGAGAACCGCCCTCTTGCAATCCGGGACCCTTGGGAGATGTCAAAAAGCTTGTTTAGGCCTGATCCCCTCAGGCCAGGATGAGGGTCCCTACCAGTGCATGAATCTGTGCATCAGGCCTCTAGTCACTAATAAATCACCAAACAACAAGTGTTGGCGAGGATGTGGAGAAAAGGGAACCCTCATGCACTGTTGGTGGAAATGCAGATTGGTGCAGCCACTGTGGAAAGCAGTATGGAGTCACCTCAAAAAATAAATATGGAACTACTATAGGATGCAGCAATCCCACTTCTGGGTATTTATCTGAAAAAAATCCAAAACATTAATTCAAAAATATATATGCACCCCTATGTTCATCACAGCATTATTTACAATAACCAAGATATAGAAGCAACCCAAGTGTCCATTGATAGATGACTGGATAAAGAAAAAGTGGTACATATATGCAATGGAATATTATTCCACCTAAAAAAATGAAATCTTACCATTTGTGACAACATGAATGGATCTAGAGCAGTGGTTCTCAACCTTCTGGCCCTTTAAATACAGTTCCTCATGTTGTGACCCAACCATAAAATTATTTTCATTGCTACTTCATAACTGTAATGTTGCTACTGTTATGAATCATAATGTAAATATCTGATATGCAGGATGGTCT